GCCTCGCCGCCGAGTCCCTCCTTTTAATCACCAGTAAGTGGTTCTGTTCGAGTGTAGCCAGGGGCGGAACAAAGACCTGACAAAGGACAAGCAGAAGGAAAAACCGTGCCTGGCTGCTGATCAAGTTCTCTGATGCGCTCTGCCCCTTTGATAATGAAATCTGGAGAGCCAGGCACATAGGAAAGAGCGGAAAAAAGCTTATCTGTGTGCGCACATAGACCATATACGCTGTGCTAACAGCCTGCAACCCTGACAGGAGGGCGGCCTGGCCATAGCAGCGGTTCTCTGTAGGAAAACACACTCCCTATCTGGCTTTACTTTGCAGACAAATTTTAAAATAATATTTTAATATTCAGACTTGAAGTAATCCTACCGGTGGGTTTTGAGCTAGGTCTTATGCAAATGTGAGCGCATTAATTCTTTTGATTCTCACAGCAGAACCCTGGGAGAGATACTACTAGGTTGACTTTTACATGCAAGGAATCTGAGGCCTGGGGAAGTCTCTGCTTCATCCACCAAACCCGCAATACCCGGCTGCAGGTGAACAGTGATGTGTCGTTAAAGAAGAGCGCAGCTTAGAAGAGGCTCTGTGAAAAAAATGTGTGTTTTGGAAGTTATTGGCAGATGGGGCGAGGATATTTCAGTGGCCATAGATTTATGACGAGCATAACTCTGGCATTAGGATTAAAGGACTGAAAAGAAATAAAGTGGTGAGATTCTCTGCTTCAGGCAGATGTTATTCCCCAACAAATCAGATTCTGAGTCCTTGGGGATGGAGACAACCACTGTAAGTCTCCACTAGATGCACCCATCTACAAAGGGAAGGGGCCGCTCAGCATGCGGTGGAGACCCAGTCCTTGCCAGGCCTCTGACTGCCCGGATAGATCATACAATGAAAGCCAACGCTCAGGGGTTAGTCTGCGAGGAGCTGAGACCCCAGAGCGAGTTTTTCCTCTTGGGGACTCGTTCCTACTCCTCTTCTGGCACCAGAGGAGACTGGGCGGCTTCCATTCCTCAGAAGTGGACTGAGCCCGTGTGATTATATTTTCTCCACCCCACATCTCCTGAAAATGACAAAGAATGTGAAAAATAAGACTAAATTCACAACACATTGCATTCTTAATCACCAATTTATTTCTTCTCCATTAGACCATAATGTCTAAGAGAACAGAGCTTCGGCAGGCACATGGGAAAATAACATACCTCATATTTTCCAAAACACTAAGCCCAAGAAAATAACCAAAGTAAGTTTTCATTTAGACTTACGTAAGCAAAAGAAACATATTCAGATATGCAATGCAACATGCTAATACTGCCCACGCTACTTTCATACGTGACTATATCCAGGGAGACGTGTGGAGAAACAGACGCGATAAGGAGGAGGCGCTGCCCAGCCATAGGGTGAGATAAACCGAGAGCACAAATGGAGAGGGTGAGCAGAAGCCTAGTGCTGCAGGCACCTCTCCTATCTGTCCCCTCCCCATGTTGATGACATTAAAATCCACAATCCAATTAAATAAGCAGTAATTACAGGCAGACCACCTCATCCAGCTAGCCTCTCCCGAGGTCTGAGGAGGGGTGTGGGGGTGTCCTGATCCATGGGATAAGAGTCAGAAGCAGAAAGGGTTGGACGTGGTTTGTGAATCAGCAGGATCACCTGACAGGCGGGCCTGGGGGCTTCGTGGGGACGCAGGCCTGTTTTCTCTCCTACCGATGTGGTTATTGTGAATGTAAAGAAAGCAGATGCTCCTGCCTCCCCTCTACTTTCTGATCTCCTTCACCATTTGGGAGAAAACCTGGGGATTAGGAAACAGCTCATTCTCCAGGTGTGGTGATGTTGGTGAACTGCTTGGGCCACTTAGCTTCCCCAACTGACTCCCGTCTTTTACCCAGAGATTGAATAAAAGGAGAGACGGGAACATAGCACTCGGAAAAGATGCTATTGGGAGGAAGGTTCATTTAGAGCCTGTCGCACACCATATACCAAGTCAAATTGCAGGTAGATTAAAGAGTTCATTATAATCATGAGGAAGCAACAAAATATTGGCCAGTATTTATCTCATCTTTGGATAGGAAAAATCTTCCTAAAGCACAAAAGTAGCAGAAGGAATCATAGATGTGGTTACATAAAAATTTTACACTGTAGTACTAACAGCATTGAAAAAAAAAATGGAAAGGACAGTACAGCCTGGCTGGTGTGGCTCAGTGGTTGAGCATTGACCCATGAACCAGAAGGCCAAGGTCAGGCTTGATCCTCAGTAGGGGACGTGCAGGAGGCTGCTGATCGGTGATTCTCTCTCATCATTGATGTTTCTAGCCCTCTCTCCCTCTCCCTTCCTCTCTGAAATCAATAAAAATATTTTTTTTAAAAACACTAAATTTGAATTTCAGATCAACAGTAAATAAGGTTTTTAGCAGATAAATGTCCCAAATATTTCACCTGGCAACCTTACCCGGAGAAAGACGACGAGCAGTGGCCTCCAGGACTAAGATCTCCCCGAAGTTAGGAAACACGCCGTAAACGGCAGGGGGTTCCCAGCTGGGAGAGAGGAGCTCACAGCTTGCTGGGATGTGTCCCGGGACCAGGACCGGTGAAGAGGACGCTGCGAAGCCCACCCGTCCCCTGAGGAACTTGGCCTGGTCCCAGGTGCAGAGGACAGCCAAGGTTCCAAGTGGGTTGATGGCTGAATCAGTTTCTTGTGAGTTGAAGGAAGATGCTGATCTGCACAAACACCACGGCAGCCGTCGTTTGGGAATGCAGGGTGTAAACCGGGCACTAACAGGGTGGCCCCGGCTCTAGGAAGCCAGGAAGCCAGCCACGGGGAGGACCTCAGGAGGAGGTGGACGCCAAGGGGTCCCAGTGGAGGAGGACATTAGTAAACACTTCAGCCTCACGTGAAACACCTCAGGTCCCTGCAGCCACTCCAGGGTGGTGGGTCTCAATTGACTTCCTCCAAATGGATGCCACTCCCCACCTAAAGGGCCCTGCTTCTGAGTTGTCAGTGACTGATGGAGGGGTGGCACCCAGACCCATCTCCATAGAATTCCAAGTCATTCGAGGCAGGCGGCAGGTGTTAATGTCAGCTTGTGAGGAGAAATTCACATACAGGTAAAACTATCCTTGAACATCCTTTAAGCACCCACCAAAGTATAATTAACTTTTTTCATGAAGGCCATGATGACATTGTCTCGTTTCCCCCCATACAGAGGCAAATGGCAGGCTCTTCTTCAGCTGAGTGCCAGATGAAGGGCCAGCTGCATTTAGGGGCCGTGTTCTCTGAAATGACTCCCTGGACCTTTGCTGCAGGTTCTCAGGCCATGACAAGCTCTGGGAGCTGAGATGGACCTCGGGAACGGCCATCACACCTCTGGGCTCACGTTGCACCCAGGGTGTAGCCAACGGCTGGCATCGCCCATATCCATTGTCTACTTCTTGCCTTTCTCTTATTTAACGCTCATAGTTGAACTTATGAAAGTTAAACTGTGCCCATGATGTGACTCTAAGAACCAACATTCTCAACTCAGTAACTGATCAGAGGAGAAAGCGATCCAACCCAGGCCAATTAGGGCCCTTCCGTGTGTGTGTGTGTGTGTGTGTGTGTGTGTGTGTGTGTGTGTGTGTTTTATGAGACCCTAGAAACTGACACTAATTATGGTTCCATTTTATGAAATCACCCAACCTGGGAGAATAAAGCCAAAAATAAAATCCTCACAAAAGCAGGTGAGAGGTGAAGAGAGAAAAATGCAGGCACACCAAGTCCTGCTGGGTCTTCCCCCGAAAACACTCCTCACCTTCCTGTATATGTGAGCTAACACCCCTTCCCTTTTAACCAGGCTGGTTTAAGTTGCCACTAAAGGAGTCCCCGAGTAATATAGACTCTTCAACAAGTGGGGAAAATTGAGAATTCATTAATCAGTAATTTTACGAGCAATGATTGGGAGTCAAAGCCTATCGTTTTACTGGTACAGTGGGGCCTTGACTTACGAGTGTCCTGACTAACGAGTTTTTCGAGCTTTGAGTTGCGAGCTAAAATTCGGGTTACGAGCCAGCTTCAGATACCCCACCGCTAGTTGGCGCAGCGAACGTCACAGTGAATGCCACAACATCAGCCCAGCATCACGTGTCTCACTTGTTCACTTTATGATTTGACATACGAGTAATTTGAGTTATGAGATCCGTCACGGAACGAATTAAACTCGTAAGTCAAGGCCCCACTGTAGTGCCTGAAACTAATCCAGTTCCCCGGGCAGAAATGATCTTGGGATCTCAAGGTTGGTGTGTAGCTGTTACCTTCCAAACCTTCTGCTGTTATTCTTTGAGGCTGTGATTCCTGTGTCCTGCCACTCCTGCTGGCTGATACCACATCAGCTCTCATACTCAGTCATCTTTGGAAACAGACCAGCTCAGCTGCTCTGGAATCAGTCACTCAGCTGGGCCTCATCCCTACCAGAAGGCATCGGTTGAAATTTGATTGAATCCATGTCTTCCTTTTCCTGTTACTTCAAAACCCTGAACCAGAGGAGCCCGTAGCCCCACAACAATCTAGCAATAAGTATGTACTTTACATGGAAAGATTATTTTATCTTTTCTCTGCTAATCTTTTTTTTTTTAATCAAGCAGTGTTTTTTAAAACATTTTTATCGATTTCAGAGAGGAAGGGAGAGGGAGAGAGAGATAGAAACATCAATGATGAGAGAGAATTATTGATCAGCTGCCTCCTGCACACCCCCTACGAGGGATTGAGTGGCAACCCAGGCCCTGACTGGGAATAGAACCGGGACCTCCTGGTTCATAGGTGGATGCTCAACCCCTGAGCCACACGGGCTGGGCTTTCTGCTAAACTGCTTTTAAACAGGTCCATCCTTGTTTTTGACTATTTTTAAATTTTCCAATTGCTGTCAACTAACCTGAGAAGTCTGTGGCTTCCTTGAATTTCTAATATGTCAACGTGTTTTTGATGCATGGACGGTTTTCCTGGGGACTTCACATAGGGATCTTTGTGAGGCATATAAAGGCTGGTATCCGGAGGCATTTGTCATCTGATAAACTGAAAAGGAAAAAAAAATGTCCACAAAGCTCTAGCAGGATATTAAACTAAGAATTTATTTGATCTAAACGTGAAAAAAATCTTCAGTGATATTTTTCAAGGCTTCCAACTGAAAAATTACCTTGTGTTAAGTAACCAGACAACACAATAAATAGCCAAAGTGAGATGGAAAAAAAAGTTTTATTAAAATAGATTCCACTAATTGGTTTGGATTCTTTTTAAATAAAAAATGTCCATCACTCCATACAAAGTAGAAAAAGCATTATTAACATTTTTGAATTTAGGAAGTGTTATTTTAAAAATTATTTTAACATTTATTGATTTTAGAGGGAGGGAGGGAGGGAGGGAGGGAGAGATTGCTTCATTGGTTCGCTTATTTATGCATTCATTGGTTGAAACCTTGGTGTATCCGGACAATGCTCTAACTAACTGCCTACCCAGCTCAGTTGCACATGGTCACTCAGTACATTCTTAGGTGATTTCATTAACTCACCTGACCTGTAGACACTGTCTCCCAAAACTCTATTTCTAGCCCAAAATCTGAGACCCAAATCTACTGCAGATACTACAAATATGACATAAAGCAGAATTCATTCTCTCAGTTGCAAACCGGTGTCTCCTCTTCTTTGCCTTAGTTAATGGCACTGCTATCATCAGTCTCTTGCTTTATATATATGTGTTTCTTTGGCCGGAAATACAGCCACCCCTCTCCTTCATCTGGAAATATCCAATTCATCCCTTCAATTTTTACTTCAAATCTCACTTCCTCTGAAAGCACCTATAGCTCCCTCTGGTTTCCCTGTTAGAGTTCATACTGTCTTCTTTGGTTTCCATTCTGGTTCTCAGCCATACCTATAAATATTGTTTTGAAGTCTGCCTTCTCCACGAACTACAGGCCTGTGGCTAACAGGAGTTCTGCTAATGCTGTTTTGTGTCCTAAGCATTGCCTTTGCATGGTTCCCATCTTGAAATAGGTCCACATTGAATACAGTTGAATGAGTGGTCTGATGGATCAATGAATGGATGTGTCTTACCCAACCAACACAGAGGGAATCAAGGGTGTGGCTTTAGTGTTATATGATCATCTGGTGACCACATTCACTTCTGTTAAACTGGCTCCCATCTGTATTCTGGTATTGAAAGTGTTATTATTGCCCACAGCACACTAGCGGTTTTTTTGGTGTGTTTTTTTTTTTTTTACACTGTCTGTTTTTCAGCAGCAGAGTGTTGTTGCCAATCATTGTCATAAAGCAGTCTCAACAGCGCTGCTCCAAATGACCTGATGTGAGACTGTCTGGGCTCCGGGGCGGAATATTAAATGACATTGTGCTTCTGCAGCTAGCTGAGCCTCTTGAGTCACAGCCGCAGTAAAAACATTTTAACAAAATTAAAATCTCTGTGGGGGAGGGGAAAGCAGAGAATAAAGGAGGTTGGGCATAATGCTGAGATGAGAGCAATGTGAGAGAGACACTGGTGTTGCCTAATTTCTATATTTAGTTATAATAGGAAAGTAGGGATGAAGATGGAGAGGTCTACATTTGGGATTTAAAATAGTCTAAAATTTGCTCCCCATTGAGTTGGGGGGAAAAAAAGATAAGGATTTTTCTGGAAAACACATCCACTAAATTGAAAGGGGCCATGGGGCAAAGAAATAAAAGCTATCTCTGGCGAGAGCAAATTGAAATAGATCAATTCCCTCTTGTCACTTCCTATTTCCAAACGAATGGATTACTTTTAAACAGCCTGGCTCTCTGCGCTGCTGCATTTGGCGCGAAGAAGGAAATATCTGATGTGTATCTCATGCAAATGGAAAATGATTGCATGACAAAGTACTGCTTCCTCTTTAGGGAATCACTATAAATAATTCTTATTCTATAGAAAAGCTAGAACTTGAAAACCTTTATGCTAAGTTAGAGCCCTGAGGAGCACACTGTATTTTACTTTTACCCAAAGGCGTGTTTCCAGTGTCACCCTAAGCAAAGAGAGAAAAAGGGAGCGAAAAACCCCAAAGTCAAAGGTAACGTTCTTTGGTTTGCTTCATTAAGGAAATAAGAAATCACTTGTTGTCCTACTGCTTTCCAGGCCCTCGGGGCCCAAGGGTAAGATGAGGTTTCTGAAACTCACCCACAAATGTAGAAGGATGAGCTGGAGCAAACCGTGGGGGTAGCAAAGAGTGTCAAGGAGTCCAAAGGCAGGAGGACAGCTGGCCCCCAGCAGGATTAGAGGAGGGCACTGAGGGTCAAGAACCCACTTTTCTGTTCCTTTTCCTACTTGCAGGCCGAGGAACCCACCTGTGCAGACAGAGTCACGGGCTGTCTGCTGTGTTCAAGCACAAGGGGACTGGAGTCCTGGAGGGGTCAGGGAGGAATGATAAGAGGTGAGAGAGATAAACAAAAGCAAGCAGATATGTCTTAACTCTGTAGGTTGTGAAGCGCTGAGTTTATAAGCAAAGAGGGGGCTATTTTTCAGAAAATTCTCTCTGGAAGCAACGGGGAGGCCAGCCCAAATCCATGACTCTCAACCTTTTCCCACTGTGACATCCATGTTGACTTCTTCCCATTTTCCATGTGTAACTGATATGGGGACTTCCATACTCAAGAAAGCATATTGAACCTGGCTGGCATGGTTCAGTGGTTGAGCATCAACCTATGAACCAGGAGGTCTCGGTTCAACTCCTGGTCAGGGCACATGCCCGGGTTGCATGCTCGAGTATGGGGTGTGCAGGAGGCAGCCAACCAATTGTTCTCTCTCATCATTGATGTTTCTATCTCTCTCTCCCTCTCCCTTCCTCTCTGAAATCAATAAAAATGTATTTTAAAAAAACACTAAAAAAACTACTAGAACTGATAAATTAATTCCATAAAGTAGCAGGATACAAAATAAATATCCAGAAATTAGCTGCATTTTTATACACCAACAATGAATTATCAGAAAGGAAAACTAAGAAAATAATTCTATTTACAATTGCATAAAAAAATACCTAGGAATAAATTTAACCAAGGATGTAAAAGACTTGTACTCAGGAAATTATAAAACACTGAAGAAAGAAATTGAGGAAGATACAAATAAGTGAAAGCATATGCTGTTTATGGTTAGGAAGACTTAACATCATTAAAATGTCCATACTACCCAAAGCAATCTATAGATTCAACTCAGTTCCTATCAAGATACCAATGGTGTATTTCACAGAACTAGAATAAATATTCCAAAAATGTATATGGAACCACAAAAGACCTCAAAAAGCCACAGCAATTTTGAAAAAAAAGGAAAGTTGGAGGAATCACTCTACCTGATATTAAACAATACTACAAGGCCACAGTAATCAAAACAGTATGATACTGGCATAAAAATAGACATATAGATCAATGAAACAGAATAGAGAGCCCAGAAATAAACCACACTTTTATGGTCAATTAATATTTGACAAAGGAAGTAAGAACATAAAATGGGGTAAAGACAGTCTATTCAATAAATGGTGCTGGGAAAATTGGACAGGTAAATGCAAAAAATGAAACTAGACCACCTCCTTGCACCATACACAAGAATAAACTCAAAATGGATTAAAGACTTAAATGTAAGTCACAAAACCATAAAAATCCTAGAAGAAAACATGGGCAGTAAAATCTCAGATAGTTCTTAAAGTAATATTTTTCTGATATGTCTCCTTGGGCAAGGGAAACAAAAGAAAAAATAAGCCAATGGGACTACATCAAACTGAAGAGTTTTTGCACAGCAAAGGAAACCATCAACAAAATGAAAAGACAAACCACTGAATGGGAGAAATTTGCCAATAATACATCTCATAAGGGGTTACAATCTAAAATTTATAAAGAACTTATACACTTTAACACCAAAAAAGCAAACAATCCAATTGAAAAAAAAACAAAGGCTCTGAATAGACCCTTCTCCAAAGAGGACATACAAATGGCCAATAGACATCTGAAAAGATGCTCAAGGTCACTAATCATCAGATTAGTGACCACAATGAGATATCACCTCACACCTGTCAGAATGGTTACCATCAATAAATAACAAACAACAAGTGCTGGCGAGGATGTGGAGAAAAGGGAGCCCTCGTGCACTGCTTGTGGGAATGCAGACTGGTGCAGCCACTGTGGGAAGCAGTATGGGATTTCCTCAAAAAATTAAAAATGGAACTGCCTTAAGACCCAGTGATGCCACTTCTGGAAATATATCCGAAGAAACACGAAACACTAATTTGAAAGAATATATGCACCCCTATGTTCACTGCAGCATTATTTAAATAGCCAAGATTTGGAAGCAGCCCATGTGCCTAGCAGATGAGTGGATAAAAAAGCAGTAGTACGTTTACACAATGGAATACTAATCAGCCATAAGAAAGAAGGAAATCTTACCCTTTGTGACAGCATGGATAGACCTGGAGAGTATTATGCTAAGCAAAAAAGCCAGTCAGAGAGAGAGAGAGAGAGAGAGAGAGAGAGAGAGAGAAACCATGTGATTTCACTTAGATTTGGAATCTAATGAATAAAATAAACAAGCAAAAGCCGTAACCGGTTTGGCTCAGTGGATGGAGCGTTGGCCTGCGGACTGGAGGGTCCCGGGTTCGATTCCGGTCGGGGGCGTGTGCCTTGGTTGCGGGCGCATCTCCAGTGGGGAGTGTGCAGGAGGCAGCTGATCGATGTTTCTCTCTCATCGATGTTTCTAACTCTCTATCTCTCTCCCTTCCTCTCTGTGGAAAATCAATAAAATATATTAAAAAAAAAAAAAGACTCGTAAATACAGAGAACAGACTGATGGGGGTTGGGGACCTGGATGAAAAAGGTGAAGGGATTAAACCAAACAAACACACACACTCCCTGAAATTCATAGACATAGACAACAGTATGGTGATTGCCAGAGGGAAAGGGGGTGGTAGGAGGTAGAAGAGGCAAAAGGAAGGAGACTTAGGGTAATGAACACATAATACAAAATACAGGTGATGTATTATAGAATCATACACCTGA